GCTCAATGCGATCTAAAACAGTTTTACCTTGAGTACAGTCTGTCACCTACGTCAACTATCCATATAAGTGAATAAAAACTGAGCTGGATTTTTTTTTTTATTCTCTTCATCAAATAATTCTTTAGATTTAAAACTTTGAAAACAGTTTAAAAACACAGTTAAAAACTGTAAACCTTAAAATGTGATATTAATAAATAGTACTGCTGCAATCTTTACAATCTATACATTTCCTTCCCAAGATTCTCGACATTTCGATTTTTATATTTAGGTCAAAACTATAAGTAGAATTAATAGTAATTAAACACTGAACATGCGCCAAGCAGAACATGTATCATTTATTTCTTCCATTGTATAAAAATTAAGCTAAAATTAATTATTTAGCTTTATTCAGCTGCTTTGGCAATATGACTAAGTTATATTGTCTATTTCGGTTTCAAATGTGCCATAATAAAAAATTATTAAGCTAGGTTTATCGTTCTTGCTATCGCATTTCTGTAACTTAAATGTTCAGATTTATTGGGGAATTTGACAAAGTTAATGGTCTTAGAAACGTAACTGTGTGACACATAAACACAATGTGAAATCAACACTCAGCTTTTTAGGTTTCGATTTCATAAGAAATGATGCTGCGACACTCGTAAACATACCGAAAATGAAATACGCAGCGAGTCACCTCAGTCACCTCCGAAATGTAAACTCATATTTGTCTCCAATCTGTACAATTCCTTGACCAATTGTTCTACTTCTTCTACTTCAAATGTCAAATCTGGCCCGCGTTCCACTTTCAGTGGGTCTTACCGTATTCCTGGCGCATGATAATTACGTCACCAATGGTGTTGGACAACAAATGCCTGAAAGCTAAATGATTAACATTAATTAGGTTGTGCGAAAAAAAACTTCCTTATGGTGAAAGTTTACTTGCAACAATATGCAATCGTCGCTAAGTAACCTTCCAATAACTTAGTAAAGGCTTGGCTTATTTGTTACCGCGAAAGTGGAAATCACTTACTCAACTCTTTTCTTTATATTATTTTAAAATATTTCAGAATATATATGTTTTATATAAATTAGCATATATATATATATATATATATATATACACACACACACACACTTGTATATATATTAGTATATATATACAGTATATATTGGTCAAAAATTGTTACATTTAATCGTATTGATAGTGTGATACTGTGTGTGCATGTTTTTACTTGCTATCCTATGATTTTGTGTGTTTTTTTCTCTCTTACAGCCTATATTTCTTCCTCTTGTTCCTCTCTTTTGCTCCAGTGGTCCAGCAGGTCAGTGTTTATGATGTCCAGAGTGTTATTTTCCAGTCTACGAGGCACAAACATGACTAGTTGTCAAAACTAAGCTGCCCCTCTGTGAACTGTTTACAGTATCATGTAGCCTTTAGATTGTTTAAGCTCTGCTTAACCCTTACTAGGGTTGGACATTATACCTGTCATTAAGCGAAGATCTTCCCCAAACTCATTAGTTGTATCCAGGGCCAGCTGAGGTATGTGGGGCACCAAGTTGTAGCTGTGGGCCTCGATTAAAATCGCTGTGGGATCCCCCAACAGCCAGGGGCCCAAAAATCGTCACCACCTTTCTCCCTACTAGCAACGTCCCTGGTTGCATCAATAGTGCTCAGTGCAACAGAAGTTTCAAACAGGCTGCGTGAACAGCTCTGTTCATAAGTCAACGTTAAGAAGCTTTAAACCTCACTTTGATTACCGGTTCACGTCATCTGTTACAACAAATGAGGAAACAATGAGATTGTGACCTAATTCAATGTTCTGCATCCTAAATGTCAATCAGTAAAGTTCATTTGTTCTCACGTTTACATTTAAGTAGCCATGAAAATATACATAGAAAATGAAATACAATTAATGGTCAAAAGTGCTATGGCATGAAAGTCTCCTAAAATGAGAGTTGTGTGAAAGAGAAAGGGTTCTGGTAATGTTATATGGCGACCATAAGATCTGGAGTAGGTAGGCCTATTTGTCAAAAATTATGAGGCTGGGGCAGGTTGTCACAGTGACTAATAATGGGATCATTATCTCCGAACAGATCATTTAATCAGTGAGTCCTTGACTCGAGAACACCTGCAATCTGATCAGTCCAATTCGCAAATAAATCGTTAAGCATGATTTGTGATCTCATTCAATAGCTATTCTTTAAAAAGAATAGTCTCATTTACGAATCGGACACCGTAAGTGAGAATGTTTTCCAAAACAAAAATAAACTGATAAAGTAAGCTTCTCTCAGCTAACAGGGAACGTTCTCAGAACTTTCAGAATGTTCTGCTAAAGTTCTCTCAAAGTTATGAAAAAAAATTCTTCCAGTAACATTAATAGAACATTTGTTGAACAAAACATTAATAGAACAAAAGTTGTCAGGTGTTTAATAATGTTCTATAATAACAAAAAATATTATTATTCATCGGTTATGGAATGTTTTTTTCTTTAAATGTTATTACTTAATGCATGTTTCAGAATGTTAAGAGAACATTCAAAAGTAACATTCCGTTTGAAAAATTATAAAATCGAACTTTCCCTATGTTTCTCTAACCTTTGCATAACCAAGAAAAAAATGTGTAAAATGTTTAATAATCGACATTTTGAACTCTCAGACAACATTGAGAAATAATGTTTACAAAACTTAACGGTAACACTAGCAAAATATTCTTAAGACATATTTTTGTTAGCTCAAGTTGGCTCAAGTACAGTAACAGAGGCATTTTATGCAATTTATTAATTGCAATTTATGTAGGCCAAACCAATAAATGTAACTTAAATATCTGCCCTGTAGGCCTATTCCATAAACGCTCCAGTTTTTTTCCGAGCATCGGGCACACACACACCGTCCCTTCACAAAAGATAGACAGGATTTCATGTAGACATGTGACCAGTTATATAAGCACCCAAAGCTTTATAAGTCTGCAAGTGTCTGAAGAGCAGTGGCAGATCCATCTGGTGTGTGTGTGTGTGTGTGAGTGTGTGTGGACGGGACCTTTTTGGTCTTTTGGCGGCTGAGATGTTCTTCCGCATTCTTCTCCTGACGCCTGGATACATTCGATACCTGCAGGTGAGTGTCCAGTTTCTAACTGAGCAAAATAAATGAGCCTTCTCCAAACTGTGGAAAGTCACTTACTTTCTTTATGTTGGATTTCCTGGTGATTACTGTTGTAAATATAATAATGCTAGTCCAAAACCGCTTATAAATTACTTATGGTTTGACTTGTATGTGTATATGCATGTGTATATATTTTTTATCCATTAAATATATCAGAAATGATACATTCGATACCTGCAGGTGAGTGTCCAGTTTCTAACTGAGCAAAATAAATGAGCCTTCTCCAAACTGTGGAAAGTCACTTACTTTCTTTATGTTGGATTTCCTGGTGATTACTGTTGTAAATATAATAATGCTAGTCCAAAACCGCTTATAAATTACTTATGGTTTTACTTGTATGTGTATATGCATGTGTATATATTTTTTATCCATTAAATATATCAGAAAGATATTGTTATTAAGAACAGTGACATTACCTCTGTCTGTAGAAAACATACTCTAGCATAAATATTTTGTAGAATAACACAATTAAACAAATGTGTATGACTAGCAGGAGCAATTTTACAGTGTGTACACAAATCAGAGAGTCTCGGCATGCAAAAATTCATTGTTTTGATTCATGTTTTATGGGGATTCTAGGACTCCAAGCTAAATTTTCTATGCAGTCTGAAAATCTAAAAATGCTTTTGTTATAATAAATTCTCTTAAAAGGGAATTTCAATGTTCTTTAATTACAAGAATTTGCACCTCTTAGACCCCAAACAAACATCCAGCATGTATGCGTTGTATTCTTGTAATGGTTGTAGTTTGATATGCAAGTAAACATAAAAAAAATCTAAATGACTGAGCATGTAAGATATATAGGGCACAAATAAATCACAGTAAAGCAGATACAGATCAGAGCAAATTAAACCAAAAAAACTATTTATTAATTTTTACTTTTATTAATTTATAAAGCAGATGTAATTTATATTTCAAATGTTTTGATTTAAAATCAATAAAAATAAAAAAAACACTGAAATAACAATATTTGCAATATTCTCTGATAATATTCTTCCAGTTGTTTACATGTGGGATTTTAAAGCCTCTTTGGGATTAGAATCACGGTATGCACAGGAAACTGGATACCAAGCCCAATGACATGAGACGCTTGCTCCAAATCTCTAAAACTCTCTTTGTAGCTATTTTTGGAAACAGATTCCGCTGCAATTAATCACCTTTGGCATTTTGGTGTTTGTTTCCATTAATTATGTTTTTACATGATATAAAATGATTCTTTCCTTTTTGAGGGAAAATCCAAGGTAGAAGCACTATATATAGTAGTTGACTATAATAAACACTCGATTGTATGCAAACACTGTAAATCGTATTAATAGAAACTGCTTATATATGTATATATGTATGTCTGTTTATCTTGATAAGCTTCTTACCAGTCTTAATCTTGATCTAGGAAATTCAGTAATACTTCTCAAACTTGTCTGATGTACCAAGTGTTTCTGAGAACTGTACTTCTTGGATGGATCTTCTCTCATCTCATGCTCATAGAAGAGCCATGAACACTGACCTTTGACCTTTTGCTTTTAGACTCAGGCAGCGCGGACCGGTCTGCAGAGGGAGGGGCCCGTTGTACCCCGCTTTGCCATGCTGCTAGGCCTTGTGGGTTTTGGCATGTCAGGATACAGCTCTTGCCAGCTGACCTTATACCACAAGCCATCGCCACATCTCCTGCGGTGAAACACAACGCAGGAAACAGAGAGAAAGCGCATCGCTTTTGTTTAGAGGTGCGTTCTTTCTTAAACAGACTGAACAAGCCAAATATCATCATTATAGTTTTTACCACATCATGCTGAAGCTCATAGTCTTGCTTTGGGTGCGAGGATGGCAGATCCTCAACCAAGCTCTCCCAAACTTGTTCTCTGGCAACAATGGAGTGAATTAAATGCTTTTACTTTTTAATTAGTTAGTCTAAATCATAAAATGACAAAGGGGATATTATATGGCCTTGTGGAACTCAAGGATGTCTCAAAGGCCACTTAAATTCACCATTTGGGACAGGGGTCCATTTAGCACTGGATTATATTTTTGATATAATCCCAATTTGCAATCCCAAAAATAACTGTTTGTGCATCTAAAGTTCCTATAGACCACCACAGGCTCCACAGTAAATGCAAACCAGCCAAAGCTGTCACAGCGCAGACATTATGCAGAATTATTGATTTTCTTAAAGTAATTTTAAAAGACATATTGCTCTAATGAAGAGAGCAATTTCAGCAGGTCACCTTCATAGCTATGAGTCACTATTTACAGGACAGGGTGTCATCCTTAAAAAACGATGAGCATTCGTCTAAAGCAAACAATTTAAATTATTCTTTTTTTATATAAAAAACACTTTATATAATTAAAAATATATCCTAACAAACCATACATCAATGGAAAGCTTATTTATTCAGCTTTTACATGAGGTGTAAATCTCAATTTAAAAAAAAAATGGACCCTTCTGACTGGTTTTGTGGTCCAGGGTCACATATTTATGAATTCTTTAGCTTTGAGAGTAGGACAGTGTTTTTTGATGGGCCTCCAGCTTTCCATTCACAAGCGTGTACAGAAATCCTCACCTGGCTTTTCTCTTCCAAATTGGGTCTGGCATTCTGGTTTGCCAACCTCAGTGTCACCCAGACAGCAGACGTAAATTTGTAACCACCAAAATAGCCCATGAAGGACACTGACCTATCAGAAACTCTCTCCTAACTAGGCATCTGATCAATACGATCTCATAAAAGTGTTTATTTATGGAAAATAATTGTGTTTTTTGCCATTGACGTATGTAATGAATGTCTCACCGACAGCTAAATGTCATTGGTTTTGTGAATGGGACAGGATTGATGTGAACTTGAGTGCTGAGTCATGTAATGATGGCATGACGTCTCAGACAGACACTCAAGAAGAAGAAGAGCTTATGTTCTTAAAATGGTCTAATCTGCTCATCCAATTACAGTTGGCTGTTAATGTAAGGTCAAAGACCTTTATTTAGAAAACAAACGGTTGACCAAATGGGGACATCGTGTTGTTTTGATTCTTTGTGGACGCTCTGACTGATTTGCACTGATTTTTTAAATTGTTGAGATTGTCTATAATGATTGTGACTATTTGTGCACTTTGATGGCAGGATTGATTGTATTTTCAATGCTCTTTTTAAAAGAAGAGAGTATATCTTATGTTATAATATATCTGTATTTATTTACAAAATAAAATATTCAAGCACATAAAGAGACTTTATGCATGTTTACATACCTATTTAAATGAACACAGTATAGATTTCTGTTAATTTAATGTAAAGCTAATTAAAAATAGTGCTATAATTTCGAACCTTATTTTTTATTTATTGGTTAGTTTGTTTATTTTAAGTTTTAAGTGAACAACGCATTCATACAGTATGCACAAAGTATATGCACACAATTATAGCTGATAGTCTAAATATGAAAACTCCAAATTCACTGGCAAATTCATGCAGTAGGGGGCAGCACTGCACCAAAACCTCTAAAAATAGCATCTGATTACAACCTACTAAACTGTTTATGTTTGTGTTTATGTAAGACATAGAAACACTGAATAAGAGTTGTTTAAGAATGTCTGATCTTCCAGACAATCACATGTGGTCTTTAGTAGCTATGTTGCAAATGCACTGACCCACTTTAGCTACTAAGCTTTGCAAATCCAAACCAGAATCAACCTGTCGGAATTACTTCTCCTTTATACATGCAACCACATACATTCAAGCAGCAAATAAAGGGATACACAAACTTACATAAATGTGTGCCCAAACCATCTCTTTCGTGTTTGCACACACAGATTTGTTGTGTTGGGTTAATAGTGCAACTTTCACGAAGGTAATCTGATTATGTTTGCTTGCCGGTCATTAAAGATAATTGGTCTTTTGCACCTTATGTGTGTAAATAAGTGGCTGTGTATGCAGAAAGAGAGAATAGGGGTAATATCCTCAGGATGAGTCAGCGTGTGATCAGACTGTCTTACGTCCTTGATATGGGTGTGGGCTGGAAAGAAGATTTATAAGTGAACGGAGCGCTTTCTCTCACGACTCGCGCTCTCTCTCTCTCTCAAAAAAAATGCAGTTTCATAGGCCTACATTACGTTTAGACGTCAAAATGAATCTTAAAGCGGCTGTATGTACGTTTTTTTTTTTACCTTGAAATATCAGTTTTAAAATCATTATGACGGTACACTGCATTCTAATAAAGCAAAAGGCTTCTGTTTCTTTCCCAAAACATGTTCTGGGTAATTTGGTAAGCGGGTCAATTCCGCGAAAAGAGCGGATCGCTTTATGGCAGCAACAAATGCACATGAACAGCTATCCACTGTATTTACGACAGTGAACTTCACTCAGAGGGCTTCAAAGTCGCAAAAATACATTAAAGGGGTCCTATTATGCTCTTTTACAAAGTCTTGATTTTGTTTTGGGGGTGTAGAACAGGCTCTCATACTAGGTTGTTCGAAAAACACATTATTTTTCCCATATTTTATTATTACAACACCTCTCTCCCCAGTCTGGCATGAACGGCTCGAATAGTTCCTGTATCAAATGAAGGCCCGCCTTCTGAAATACGAAATGTGCTGTGATTGGTTAGCTGGGCCAGTGTGTGTTGTGATTGGCACCACTTGGCGCACTAGCCGCCTGCTGCGAGCTTCAGTGTAAATATTGCGTCAATATCAAATCAATTTGGGCGCGATTTAAACTTGGATGATTGTAACCACTCTAAGTTCGTCTGCCTTGGGAAAGCTAGCGTGTCTCCGACATAGTGATAACACTCGTTGCCTTCTCTAGTGCAGCTCAACCAGGTCTCGT